TCCAAATCATCAACAATTGTGGTGGCATTTCGTGCACAGTGACAGACTTGAGTCACAGAGGACCACGATTGCGTAGGAAAAGATTCGACACAATGAGTCCAACTCATGTTTATCATTTGGCAGCCTTCCCATCAAAACAACAACACTTAGCCTACACACACACACACACACACACACACACACACACACACACACACACACACACACACACACACGCCTGGCTGCAGTTTGAGGATGAGTTGGCATCAGATGCGTTGTGGTGAACCATTACAGTGTGAGCCCATATGATTTATATCAGTGGTTTTTCAACCAAGTTCAACCTTAAAAAAAAAAAAAAAAAGTATAAACATCATGGCCAACAATAAAATAAAGTAGCATAGTAGGCCCAAGTGTTCGTCCAAAAATTAGGTCATGGTTTTATTCCTAAAATGTAGTTTTAACTTTATTTCAAGCCATTGTAACAATATGCGGCGGTTCGGCATCAAATAAAGGTTCACCCGAAATTAGATGGGGGATGGGGGGGGTTAGGTACTAATTGAATCGTGATTCAATAAAAATGGTATTGCTCATAAAACTCAAATAATAACTGCACCTGGATAAACGTTTCAAAACAAACAGTTCCTAAAAATGTCATGCAAATGTGTTCTTCATCTTCTTATTTTTCGCGACATTTTCTGTGATTATGAAATCCATATTGTAATGTTTGTGATACAGTGTGTGGCTCACTAATGCCTCTTGTGGAGAGCATTAGAATGACAAGCAAGTGTCACTTATCCAGGTGCTTCGGAAACATCGTCCCTTTTAACACCATGCTGGTATGAATTATCATTTTCCATGGCGCTTTACACACACACACACAAACACACACACACCTGTGGTGTCCGTCAACATTTACCTTGTGCGTCCTTCACGAGGGATTTGCATCGTGTCTCGAACGAGGCCGTGTACATAAAAAGAGAAGGACAGGAAAAAATGTCTCATCGCCGCACGCCGCCTGGCAATGTAAACAAACGTTGACAAAAGAGAGCCAGCATTTGAAAAGGCTCCCTGATACATAACCGTGCGTGCCACTCGAAGACAGCGCCGCCATTCATTTCGCCCCGAGAACCCAAAAGCTTTGGACGCTTGTCTTAATATTTAGTCTGATAGTGTGACAATACGCTCGATTTATGAGGTGCGAAAGCCCAAGCGGCTATTTCCCGTCACACGACTTTATTTTTGCAATGACATAATCCCAAACAATGTTCACATTTTTGAAATAACCCGACGGCAAAGGCAATAGCTGGAATACCAGGACGCTGCGTAACGTACTTTTCTGATCCCCTTGACCTGAATTCAGAAATATTTGGCGCAACCAATCAGCCTATTAAGACATATATTATTTTTGGCATCAGTAAATCGACGAACGTAAATGTAATTTAGGACTTTGTGCAGCAGACAGTGCTTTTGAAAAGTCTACACACCCCAGTTCAAAAGCCATGATAGATAATTTCTCAATTGATTCCACTCCTCTGACCTGTAACCTTGACAACTCACTTGAATTTGAAAAATAATAATCTTACCCGCGATGTGTTCAAAATTCACGATTCATCGCATTTGAACTCGTGAGAATAAAGTTCAGATGTTCTAGTGGGCTTTTCCTTTCATCAGGATTTTTAGCAGAACAAATAACACAGTAATGCTTACGCTTTGACAAACAGTAGGTCACTTTCGGAATGTATTGCACTGTCACATAGTAATGAATCCATAAAGCACAAAAAAAAAAAAAGTTGCCAACTCTGCTGCCCCAACTCCATTTGGAACAATTGGCACTGCATAACCGTCCTTGTATAAACGCAGTCAGTGTTAAACAAGGATGCGTTCCGTTGTGGAAGCTCTCTTGCAAATGTCACCAAAAATCAAACCATTCCTAAAGATGATGATTGAATGCAAATCGTTCCGAGGAAAATGACACGGCTACAAAGCTGAGGAGTTTTTGGTTCCATAAAACAATTTTTCTATCAAGAGGGGTTGGGAAAAAAAAAGGAAACAGCTTCACGTCCTGTACAAATGTATCAACATGTTATGTAATGCCCCTCGAATGTTCACATGTAGGCTCTGTGGAGAATGTTTGTTTATCATTTCTGGCATCTGAACTCAATTTGGAGAAAAACGCTGACCCCTTTGTGAAATGAAGTGTACAATTCCAAGCATTCCCTACATTCCCTCGCCGTTCAGATGAGCAACAGGTGAAAGCCCCCGTCGCTCTTTTCAATAAAGCCAAGCTGCTCGAGATGTGAAGCGTCGCACGTTCACGTCCGTCAGCATGCCCTCGCCGTTCAGATGAGCAACAGGTGAAAGCCCCCCCTCGCTCTTTTAAATAAAGCCAAGCTGCTCAAGATGTGAAGCGTCGCACGTTCACGTCCATCAGCATGTGTGCATGTAGGTTCAAGCGTTGCGAGGGGATATTCCTGTCATGTTTAGCATGCTGTCACGCCTGATAGGTAGGGAGACACTTGGTTGGCACACAGGATTACGAGCAGGCGGGGGTGCCGAGAGGTGCCTGTGCGCACATTCCCATCATTCGTTTGGAGAAGTGTGTCATTGGTCAAACCTCAACCTCAAGTCCACCAGAGTGCCTTTTAGGGTCAACCTGAAATTGACCCCAAAAGCTCAATATCGCTCCCTTTTTGCGAGCGCGCCGGCATGCGAGCGTGTCGAATGGAAAATTGGGTGTGTTGAGGTAGCCCAGGTCCCGCGCGTCAGACGTCGAGGCCCATCAGCCCCGCCCCGACGTTCCCTTTCTATTGTTGGTGGCTGAGCTGCAGAATTCCTGCCGAGCGGTAGAGATTCCTCGCTGTGTAATGGGCTATTATGCTAGCTCGCACGCTATTCAATAGACTAATGACTTGTGTCAAAAGCTAGCGTCCCAGGGGAGTTACTTGCATTGAAGGGAATAGTTCAGAGGGCGACTGCCATTGTGTTGTGTCGCCGGGCCGGGCCGGGCCGGCCCCCCGCTTGTGTGTTAACCTCTTTGGAGTGCAAGTATATTATGCGAGGAGGGATGGCGGCGCGGCAAGCGCTCTCGCAAAACCGAAAGCTTTATTAGGATGAAACCGACTCCTGAAGTAAAGGCCATGTCATTGTGTTTGAAATGGAATGATGAAAATGTCAACCTGATAACCTCGGAAGTCACTTACTTTATTTGACTCCCGCAAAGAGTCTGTGCAGCAAAGTCAAATTGCACAGACTGTGTTGCAGTTTCATGGTTTAACAACTCATCAAGTGATTTTTTTTTTTTTCTTGTATAACTTCTTGTCTGGACTGCCTCGCTGTCAGACATGTCTCCAGCTGTTTTGCAAACAAGAACTGGGTTGATCTGGATACTTTGGCATTTGTGCTGTGAATGTTTTTGGCCTCTCCACACAGGAGCATTTACCGCATTTATCGCTAGCAGCCTCAGGCACACCAAGTCTAATTAGAATACATCTGCCACGAGGGCCTGAAAAGTTGAAAAGTTTTCCACCAATTTGCACCGGGTTGCTGTCGGCTGCCAATTCAAACAATTCAGCAATGAGTGATGGGAGGGATTGGAGTCGCACCGCCCTTTGAAGTGAACCCAAGAACAACTTGTATGACATCCACCGCGCTGCACGTAAATACGAGCGAATCTGGAGGACGGATGCAACACCTGGTGCTGTCCTTTAACGTCGAGAGTAGTCACGACTGGCAAAATATTTACAGCGGTAGAAAATAATTCAAGTTCATTTTTTTTTGGACGTGTTTTGCTACATTTTATCAGTGGTGGCAGATGACGACAATGTAAACAAACAAAAAAAAAAGACGTAAACAGAGTGGTTGTAAATTTTTGAGACGGAGCAATTCGAACCAGGGCATTCATGATGCAACAGATTAAGAGAAGCAAGATATTCCCCATAGATGGCCCAATGAAAGTATATACATGTGTATATTAAATTTAATACAAAATTGAACGTGTTGCACAGGAGCATTATTTTGAGCTGTGGGACTGTATTGATAAAACAAACACCAGTTGACTCCATTTTAAATAAACATGTTCAGATTTATTCAAATATTTTGCCAGAAATTTGGCATGCTGATGTTGAAACATTTCATAGAAATGACACACCTATCGCATCACCAATGTGGTTGTCGAATAAAGTAAAAATATGCAAATAAATATGACAATATATAAGACCTAACACATTAAGGAACAAAATACTTTTTTCAGGGAGAACCATTATATGATAATTCCCATGAGCTGGAGAACTGCATAACCGGACACACTGGAAAAAAAAAATGTTGAATTTATTTACTTTTATTTTGTCAAGTGGCTACAGAAAATAAATTAATCTGGGTATGGATACGTTTTTTTCAGTAGATGTATAGTCTACTTTAAAAAAAAAAATGTATCTGGATCCGGATGATTTTTTTTTTCGTGCAGCCACAAAATAAAATTCAGGAAATTCAACAAAAACATTTTTTTTTTCTGAGTGTAGAGTCTTGACATAAACAGGAAGTGGTTCAGCCAAACTGGCTTGTTCATGACTTGGCATCCAAGTTTTTGGGAATTATAAAAATCCATAGATGGCAGTGGGTGTCTGATGATGTTTAAAAATATAGATATATTGAAATGCTTCTTAAAGTTCTATTTGGAGTGCATACAGGTGATGATGTGAAAAAAAAAAAAAAAAAAAGTTCTTGTCTTCAGCTTATCTTTTGCGATCTCGGCTCCTTGTCTCTATTTCCCCGCTCTGCTTGGGATGCAATCAAGATGTAGGCGCTCACGTCGCCAACGTTAAGGTGGTCGTCGGCCTTGGAAGGGCTCCATATCCCGTCCCTGAGGTACTCCGCGCTATGGTGAAGGTTACGAAAGCTTTTCGGCTTCCTCTTCTGGCTTGAAAGTAGAACGGGTCATCTTTAGGCGGTCGTCCGCTCAGCCTGCCGCGTTCTCGCCCGGTGGCTCCGCGTCCAGGTCTGCAGAAGCTGCTGCGCTTTACAGGTGATGATGTAAAAAAAAAAAAAAAAAAAAGTTCTTGTCTTCAGCTTATCTTTTGCGATCTCGGCTCCTTGTCTCTATTTCCCCGCTCTGCTTGGGATGCAATCAAGATGTAGGCGCTCACGTCGCCAACGTTAAGGTGGTCGTCGGCCTTGGAAGGGCTCCATATCCCGTCCCTGAGGTACTCCGCGCTATGGTGAAGGTTACGAAAGCTTTTCGGCTTCCTCTTCTGGCTTGAAAGTAGAACGGGTCATCTTTAGGCGGTCGTCCGCTCAGCCTGCCGCGTTCTCGCCCGGTGGCTCCGCGTCCAGGTCTGCAGAAGCTGCTGCGCTTTGGTCGCGGCTCTGAGCCAAGGAGGCGTCACCCTTCTTTGAATGTTCATCCTGCAAACAAAGACGGAGACAGCAATTAGGCATTTGAGACATGCAGTCTTCTTTCAAGTTCTGGGAATTGTTATGTATACGGGAGGAGAGCTGAGCTAGTTAGTCACGCACTTCCTAAAGTACCAAATGTCAAAAATACAACGGGTAAATGGAGGAATCATGATTGGCCCATTATGAGCGGACGGTTGAAAGCAAGAAGTGGCAAATCAGATACAAACAGTCATGTTTATGAAACCTAAAAGCATAATTGCCACAGTCGTTTTGAATGCGCTGTCACAAAATAAGTAACAAACAACAATCCGCTCACTGAAAATTGTATTTGTGGGGGGGGGGGTGGACTCTTAAGATCACAGTTGACTTAATTGATTAGAAAATGATTTAAATCTAACAAATAATGTATCTTTGTTCCTCGATATCTATGCCAGCGACTTATACTGACCGAACAAATAAATGTTCTTCTGTTCGAAGGCGGAACGTGTGCAACCGACATCGGTGTCCACTTTGCGGGACAATTTTGTTTGGCGGTTGTGCCGTGAGATTTTCCAAACTTCAATCAAATTGCATTTGGCTCGCTCATGAAAGGTTGGGAATGGCTGGCAATTACATTTTCTTGTTTGCCACTAACATTCAAAACAGACTTCGGAAATTATGCTAATAGGCTAATCCTGATGTGAATCTCTCTTATGGGTAACGGTGGGATGTAATAAGGGATGAATTTAGTGACTGAAGTCGATTTTTCAGCCATGCGTACTTTGTATTTCATATTTGTCAAAATAGGCTTGTTTTTTTTTTTTTTTTTTTCAATCTCCGTGGATGACGAAACAACTTAAAAGAAAGTGTGTTTGGCAGTAGAAATGTTGACATCAGTACATTAAGTCATGGGGTCCCCGTGTTTTATTTTTCTTCACTTGTGCTCACCTCTTCGTCATGCTGCTGTCAGTCGCCAGCTCAGGGCTCTCAGCAGAGTGGATCTCAGTCTTTGCTGATGTCTCATCCCTGCAAGACATAATGACTTAAAATTATATCCCCTATATAAGAGCATTTAAGCGAGCACTCAAACACGCCGCTACATGCACAAAAGGGATTTTTTTTCCCACGAATTTACTCCATGCTTACAGTAAATAAGACATTCTTGACAGGGTTCTAAATACACATTAATGATCCTGGATCTGGGAATGTGTGATGTTCAAAAGCTGTGATATCGGACCCATGTAACCCACCTGAGGTTGGTGTTGTCCAGCCTCTGGCAAAAGTGAGCGCAGGTGAGGTCTCCCCGATGCAGGCACTGGCACCTGGAGCGACTGCTCTCCGTTGCCGGGGCGACCTGGACTGAACGTCTCTTCCTGGGGGCATTGCCCAAGCCATAAGAGACTATGCGCCTGGAAGGACAATGGAAAGTCTTTGATCAAGCTATAAACACAGAACAGTCATCACCTTGACTCACTGTGCCCTTATTGTATAGAAATTTGGATCGTGTTATAAATAGCTTCTTGCGTGGTAATACGCAAAGATTAAATCGAGGCAACTGGACGAGCGTTTTGTGGAAGAGATTTCACTTTGAATCCAAAAGCTTTCTTTCAGATTTAGAACTGAAGAAGTCATGAGGATTATATGACTTTTCTCAGCATTTTGCAATTGAATGCTCGAAATGGCAATACTTGTGCAGGTTGGAATTTGGAAATGAAATTAAAAGGTTTCATTTCTGTTTACTCAGTTTATATTCCAATACCAATAGCAAAATCAGCGAAACTAAACTCAGATTTTTTTTTTAAAATCTACTATATTATTATAGTCGATACAAAACATTTTAATTGGGTCTTTTAGCCTCAGAGGAGACACTTACTCAGGAGTGTTGACCCATATGATGTCCAAATGGCAGAAATAGACGCACTCCTTGTCCATGAAAGTAGCGCACGAGCAGCGCTTCTTGCGCACATGGCGAGTTTGGCTGACGGTGGGTGACGCTTCAGCGGGCGCAGAGAACGCTGAAATGACAAATAAACACAACATTGAAACCCGTATTTTTTTTTACACCACTATATCGCAATGTAGCCGGAATTTCAAAATAAACGTAACTTCAGGGTGTTTTCCTTACCTGTGCTTAAAATCCAGGAGTGCAAAACAGACAACACGGAAAGTAAAATGTAAATATCCGTTCCACTGGTTGAAAGACGTTTAAAAAAAAAAAAGAGGAATAATCCAAGAGTAAGAAAAGTTAGGAAACAAATATTAACAAGTGCCCGTCCTCTGCATCAAAGTGTCAGTGAGCGCCCTGAGAGGTGAGCACAACAGTTTGTGTTGTTGCTCGTGAATGTGGCCGCACATGTTCACTCTCGGCTTTATACAAGCACTTCGCCTCCCTCCTCTTCTTCCTCCTCCTCCTCCTTCCTCCGTACAGTTGTGTCCTCTGGCTTCCACCCAGACAAATGTTGTCTGTGAGCTGATAAAGAAGGTGGGGGGGGAATGACTGCGACTTGCTTGACATTCCTGCGAGACACCTCCACGCGCCACTTACACTCATCTGCCACAAGGTGGCAATAAAACGCCTCCACTTACTCGCTCACGAACTGGACACCTTGACGAAATTTAGTCAATTCAACCAAATACCCTTTTCGGCGTATATGTACTGCAGGTACCTCATGGGTCTTTTAAGTGTATCCCATCCCCCCTCACGCCCCCCCCCCAAAAAAAAAAGAGAATGTTGTGTGAGTGTCTTGCGTGCTGTAAATATCGTTGTGGTAATCACTTCTGTGACGAGCTATTGACTCATCAGAGTAGCAGCAAATCTAACAAATGACCTCACTGGCAATTGTGCAACAAGAAGGCAGAAATAGAAGAGAGGGGCATGAATTTTCCCAACCCTCACATGGAGAAAATTCTTAAACGTAGGCGGTTTGAGTGGAAAATTGACCTTGCTGTGTACGATTCATCTGCATACGCTCAAAGTGGGAAAGTATCTTGACAGGGTGAAGATTTGGGAACCCTAATCAGAGGTCGCCGCTCACTTTCCACTGGGTGGTGGAACAGTTTATGGCACATGGCAGAAGGAGCTGCTCTGTCATACAAAAGTATTGGAACAGTGAGGCCTATTCTATTATTTTTAGATTTATCTGACACGGTAGCACATAGATTTTATGTCCACTCACATTTTGGCATCTACCGTACTTGTACTGGGACCAGTGCAGCCAAGAGACATGCTAAGTCTGTTTGGAATAAATTGAGACAATGTTCCGGAATAAATCAGAGACTTTGGGTTGGAAATGCAGGTGATTAATTCTGACGGTAGTTGATGTGTTGTTGGACATCACCCTCTCAATATGCAAATTGAGGCTTGAGCACAACCACGTATTGACCTCTAGATGTCTCTGTTCGCTTTCCCTGCGCTTTTTCACTGTACTGAAAACAACCGGAGGTGGTGGTGGTGGTGGTGGTGTGAAGAGAGGCTCTGCTCGAGTAGATGGATGACTCACCTTGTGAATGGGCTGCAACATGTGCTTACCACTGCAAAGATGCTTGACACAAGGACGATTTTTTTCCTCATTTAATCCCGATTGCCATGTCTGCTCTCGGTCCTCAGAAAGTCCTCGACCATGACTCCAGCCCCGGTAGTCAAATAAAATCAATTTAATATTCCACCGAGTGCCATTCATGGGATTAACAAATGGAGAGTCTAAATTAAGTGTGTTTTAATGGGAGGCTGAGAGGACAAGTCTGTTTGGAATAAATTGAGACAATGTTACGGAATAAATCAGAGACTTTGGGTTGGAAATGCAGGTGATTAATTCTGACGGTAGTTGATGTGTTGTTGGACATCACCCTCTCAATATGCAAATTGAGGCTTGAGCACAACCACGTATTGACCTCTAGATGTCTCTGTTCGCTTTCCCTGCGCTTTTTCACTGTACTGAAAACAACCGGAGGTGGTGGTGGTGGTGGTGGTGTGAAGAGAGGCTCTGCTCGAGTAGATGGATGACTCACCTTGTGAATGGGCTGCAACATGTGCTTACCACTGCAAAGATGCTTGACACAAGGACGATTTTTTTCCTCATTTAATCCCGATTGCCATGTCTGCTCTCGGTCCTCAGAAAGTCCTCGACCATGACTCCAGCCCCAGTAGTCAAATAAAAACCAATTTAATATTCCACCGAGTGCCATTCATAGGATTAACAAATGGAGAGTCTAAATTAAGTGTGTTTTAATGGGAGGCTGAGAGGACCAGGAGGCTGTACAGTATTGTATAAATAGCGATGAATATTACAGGAGTGGCAAATTAGGGAAATGCAGTTTGGTAGAGTATAACATGGTGGTCATTGTGTTTCCGGGGCCAATTTTGCTGCTTGTCATAATAATCGCTTGAGTAGAATAACTTTATTCCTGCCTTTATTGTGGGTAATTTATGACCTCATTTTCCGAAAGGGAGAATTATCCTGCGGAACAGAGCGCGCATGAGAACGACACACGAGTTACTGCAGTCGCTTGTTAAATTTGAACTCGAGGGACAATTCCGCAAGCTTATACAACGTTTTTTTCCAGGAATAACAATCTTCATTTCTCGTGCACGCCTGTCTCCCAATTCACCTGCGGACCTGACGTCACATCCGCCAACTCAAACCAATTTTCTTGCTCACGACGACGCTTTGTGCACTCGCGCCACCCGCTCACCTGTCATGGTGACCGCTTTCGTTCAACGTGGAAATTGTCCGTTCAATTCAAATGCCACAAAAATAAAAGTGAATCACATGCAGTAAAACACGCCGCCGATCATTCCACAACACTACATCGTCTTCAGGCGCCATTTTGTCGCCATCTCCTGGTCAGTATGAGAAATGCTTTCGGTGACCATGTATAATCAGGTGTTATTTTTAATGACCATGTATAGTAAGGAGGTTTATCTCTTAATTTTGGATTTAAACGACAATAATTAGGACCACAAGTGAATAGGCACCTATCCAAGCTGACATTGAGCGAGAGTCAATAATGGACCAAGAAAAGATTCTACCACAATATGGCTTTCAACCGACAGGATACCACTTGAGTGTTTATAAACAAATTTTTACTCATACTGTTCAGAAGATTGATACATCAAAGTAAAGCTACCGTAATGCACATACCAATGGACCAAAAGTCTGAATGGGCACTAGATGGATTATAATAAATAGTTGAACACAACATTTGTACAGATAAACATTGCCCATAATCCATAGAAATGTACACATACCGGTATGACAATTATAATTCAATAAATTTACAAATGAAAGATGGTAAAAAAAAAAAAAAAAAAGTGATATCCTCCATTGCTATACCACTTCTAATTTGGTGTGTGCGTGCGTGTGTGTGCGCCTGCGTGTGTGCGTGTGTGTGTGTGTGTGTGTGTGTGTGTGTGTGTTCATTAACACAAGCAACTACTTAATTTAGATAAAATTATGTACAGGTTCCTAAACAAGAAACTCCATAAAGGCACAATTATCTATACAACATGTACAAAAACATTTTCTGGAGCTGACAAAAATAGAAAATAAAATGATTGGTCGTCATTACAATTGCCATATGATTGCACGTACAATGTGAGTGTCAGCATCTGTGCTTTGAAAGGCGATTTGTACAGAAACAAACCCCTGAAGAAGTGTTCTCAGTCTTAAAGTGACTACAATTACGTACAAAATCAACAACGGGAAAGCCTTTCAGGTGGCGATGACCAGTCTGTCTTCATCATCACTGGAAACCTCGTTGAAGTCATCAATGACCTTCTGCCAGCTGGCCACCGGTGCCGCTCTCTTCGGTGCATCATCACCACCTTGCTTAGGGGATGCCACACTATGTGCTGGACTTTGTGGGGCTGCATGCTGCTGTGAGGATTTCTCCCTTTGCGCCTTCTCCAAAGTCTGTGTCAGCCCTGCAACGGTGCCCGGCCCGCTGCCTGAATTCAGTTCTGGAGAAGTGCTGACTGGCAAGGACGCCGGCCGCGGAGTGGCCGCGCAAGCTGAGGGACTTTGCGTTTGAGATGATTGTGCCCCCAGGGTGTCGGGGCTCCCTTGCCTGTCGGACGACCACGGTAGGGGACTACGGCATGGTAGCGGGCTGAGAGAGGGAATGATGGCAGGCAGGGCAATGTTCACTATCTGGAGGCCCGGCATGTGTGTCTGGGTGGTGGTGCTGGTTTGGGAGGTGGGGCTCGCAGCCAAAACCTGCAGGGCGACCCCTTGCTGGGGAAGCATTTGGCTGGATGCTAGCCCCGTGTTGGTCAGGCCCATTAGGCTGAGCGTCGGCTGCAAGGTCTGACCCTGCAAGTCGGTCACTTGACGTATCGGGAAGCAGGGCACCACGTTGCTGATTGGTTCCTGGATCACAAGCGGCTGGGTCTGCACGCTGTCCGGCCGGGGCGAAGAGTCGGGCGCCGTCGACGGGCTCGTGTTTCTGTGGATAACGCTCACGGCCGGGATGGTGAGCTGAACGGGGCCGGCTTGAATTGGCACAAAGGTGGAATAAGCTGCCAATCCGGCAGGCACCAGTTGGATGCCGCCAACAGGAACCATACTATAAGGCGAGCGGAAAGGTTGCTGGGAGTGCAGAGGCAGGTGACTGAACAAGTGGGTCTGTGTCTCCATTATTGGGGCTTGAGAGAGACCCTGCAGGGGAGCGCGCGTCGGACTTTGTGACGTTGACGTCTGTGTGCTTCGATCAACTGGTATGCCAGACTCGTTTTTTCCCCAAGGATGAGTGGCGGATGACGGTTCCTATTGGAAACCCCCCCCAAAAAAAAGAACGTGAGTCCATTGCAGTTAACACCTGCTACAGTGGGGTGCATCATTCTGGCCGCTGCTATAATTGCAATTTTTTCATTTTTGAACAGATTTTTCTAGTTTAATAGCCACGGTTCCCTCAAAAAGAGAAGATATGCCTATGAGCATTGCTATTTACCGCTTGAATGTGTCTGTGTGTGTTAAACGAGCAGCTGTTGAAAGGTTTACAATTACCATCATATCGATGCGAATTTAGTGAGGCCTGTCTGTGGCCTTTTGCATTAAGCTCGTGAACTTGCATGAGAGGAACTTTTATGGTTTGGTTGAACATTTTGAACATTTTCCTCTGGTCTCTATTGCGAGTTTTATCCAATCGCAGGAGGGTCTGGAACGGACCGCTCCCAAAAAAACAGCGTAATTTAAGGCCACCGTAGTTCCCTTGAAGGGATAAGCAGTGTGGAAAATGGAAGGATTATGATGGAAAGAAATGACTCAAAGCTGTTTGGGTTTGTGTCTGTTGACATGGCTGAGATTTCTATTGGCATCCCGCCTACACACCTTGTGGCAGAAACTGAAGTGTGATTCGGGTTTACCATTTCCAAAACCACAAAATGGAAAAATAAACCAAAACTTGGAACTGCTTGGTGGAAATGAGGTGAAAGTATATTGGATTCAGAGTCAGGGCATGACATTTTTCCGAATGTGAACGATGGGCGGCTGGGCACTTCTGAGTGGCAGAAAGCGAACGAATACTCGAATGAATTGACTGAGTGTCATAAATAGTTGTACAGACAACAAGACAAGACTAACTAGTTCCTAGTGTGGAGCTAACGTCACCCAGAAGGATGACATCATTGTGGACCTCACCTTGCATGGTCTAAAGCCTGTCCCTGTCACCGGGGGACTCGGTGGAACCTCACAGTCAGGGTAGTCAATGGACATCTGCCTGCATGGCGATACCGGGCTCATCATGTGCACCGACTCCGTATCGGAGAAATTGGACTCGGTGGCGGCGGCGACAGGGGGCAGAGAGCTACAAAGGGGCGCCAAGCTCGGGCAGTAGCCAGAGATTGAGTACTGCTTACTCAGCGACAAAGGGTTCATGATGAGGACAGAGTCTGATGCGTGGGGTTCGGGAGCTTGCGGCTGCGCCAGGGAACTGATCGACATCTGGGCCAGGAGGGCACTCGGAGGGACCTCGTTGTCTTTCGACGGAATATGCTGCGGGCTGGCGGACACGGAAGGGTTTGTGGACAGGCCAGACTCCACTTGGCTGTCCTCCTCTTCCTCATCGTTGTCCTCGTTCTCTTCCTCGTCAGGGCCGTCGGAGTCGTCGCCGTCTGAGTCTGGGCGGTCGGCGCTACTCACTTGACTGCGGTCTCCTGAAGATACAAAAGTACGTTTCTTGTATTGAATCGGGTACTAGAACAATGTTGGTCATTAAAAATAATTCCCTCGTCGATTTATTTGAGTGAAATGCACTCGTAAGAGGATAAGTCGGCGATGTCTTGCGCCTGTAGCGGTAGGGGAGTTTTCCCTTCAGACCGTCGTGCACCTCTCAGCTCCAGCACTTGCAGAGGTGGAAAAACAAATATGCTCTTAGAGACTGGGACCATAGAATGCTTTCAGGCAGCTTGTCTCCCTTTTTTTTTCCCTTTTCTAAAATTAGATGCAGCAATTTCCTCTTTGTAAATGTTGTGCTTGCCGCCCACATGCACTTGGAGTTAACAGAGGATGAAGCTTGCATTTAGAAAGTCTAATTAGACCACAGCAAAGCCCCCTGACATAGCAACAGAGCACCAGTCCTGACGTTGGGTTTTTTTTTTGGTGTTTTTTTTACATCTTATACAATGAGGGACACGTTTATAACGTGAAATATTAAAAAAACAGTGAAATACGCAAAACGCTGAAATGCAAAGTTCAGAATCGGACCTGAATCCTCTGCATCCTGATCGTCAGTGAGTCCATTGGACACCCCCATCTCCATGCATTTCTTACTGTGCGCTTTGGACTTCATATGCTTGGTGAGATTTCCTGCAGGGAGCAGAAAAGGTGTTATGGGTGGGTAGCGGTCGAACTGTATCACAGGATACACTTACGTAAGGCAAGAGTCCCCGGGCGAGCCGCACGTAAAGGGTGAGTAACAGATAAAGACATTTTTAAATGGACGTGGGTTGTTCTGACAAAGTCCTGTTCCGCAGCGTTGCGTGGGAAGTCGGCAAGTTTGATAACGAACGGAGAATCACACTTGATTCATTAAAGCGATGCTGAAACCTCATTTTTTTTAATACCAATTAGAGGACTGGAACAACAGCAAAGTAAACTTTCAATTGTATTTATGCTAATGTAGATTCTTTGTGTATGCCAAATCGTTTCAACGTCATACTTTTTGTGGATTTGTGCCTTGAAATACAGTACCGGACAACACCGAAAGCGCTCACCTTTGGTCTTGAAGGAGAAGTTGCAGTGGGTGCAGTGGTACGGCCGAACGTCAGAGTGGGTGCGAATATGTTTGCGTAACATGCTGGGCTTCTTACAGCGGATCCCGCATTCCTCACAGATGTATTTACCGCGCCCTCGCCCACGTACGTAAACATAGTCTTCATTAGATTTGTATCTGTGGGGTTGCAACACATCAGGGAACATGAGATAAGAGACAAAGAACCATGTCGGACTGAAATAATACTCGAAAACCGTACCCGCCATCAAAGATTTTGATTCGTCTTGGCTCTGTTTTTGATGTTAGCTCCTTGTCTGACTCATTGCTGGAATGAGTTTCTGTTTGCGCTTTCGTTTTGGCTTCCGCTGATCTGGTCTTCTGGGTCACCGGCACCTATAACGGCATGCCTTTGTTTTACTCGTTTTATATATTCATGTGTTCCAACAAAACAATGCATGAAGAAACGACACAACAAAAAGAGGTTTGTTTGAAAATGTGTTCTTACCTGTGGCATGACATCTTTCAGCTTGCCAGAGTAAGACAAGATATCCGATTTTCCAGATGTTTTTATCGCCGAGGTGTAGCGGATTTTCTTCGAGCTCTGTTTGGAGTCGAGGAGAGACATGACCACCTTGGTGGGCAAGCCCAGTGGGTTTGGATTGTTTGGGTTGACGGTCCAAGCAGCATATGCCGACGTTTTCAGATCCGTTTGGAGAGTGTGAAGTTGTTTTCTCCTCATCAGGAAGCACCACGTAAAAGTGGTGGTCGTCTTCAGGCTGGGGAAAGACAGGCGATGACTGTCCTTTGTGTTCACCACGGAAACAGATGTGGGCAGTTTCACTTGACCGCCATGGAAACTTGATGGTCTTATGGGCGATTTTATGGGATTCCACCGATGTTCTTCCACTTTCTCTTGAGGCTTGAGGGAGTGACTGGCTGGCAACGAGGCACCCTGGCGATCAGGGGCAGTAGTATTTAGGGCAGGGCGAGGATCTTCAGGAATAACCGTGCTTGCCCCTTTGTCCAGGCCGGTACTGTCAGGTGACATTGGCTTCACATCGTCAAGATCCTTTTCTGAATCGGTTTTAACATGCGGCAAAGGAGGGGCCTCTGTCTCAATCGGACTGTCAACGGGTTCCGTTGTGCACACCTGCCGGACCAGCGTTAGTTTCCGCTGTCTGGTCACTTCCGACAAAGTGGAGTTCAAATAATTGACCGACCTGCCGTCGGTCAGGCAGGCCACACCGTTTTCATCCTTAGCGCGTTTCTGATGCTTTTCCATGTAGATATCCAAACTGTTGGCGGGTGACAGCATTCTTTTACTCGACGCAATGGGCTCCTGTTGCGGGCAAAGAGTGACTGACGCAAGTTTCTGAGTGCAGTGCAAAGAACCCAGGGATGACGGCCTTTCGGCTGTTTTATTGTGAAGGCTAACGATTTTAGTCCAATCCTTTGGTGAAGCATGAGTTTCAGCATCTACGATATGAGCGGGCCGAAGGGTACTTTTGTTTGAGACAGTGGGAGCAGTGTGCATCAGCTCATGTGTTATGAGGATCTGTGGCAACGGAACACCACCTGCCTGGGTCTGAACATTTGAGTCTCTTTGCTGTTCGACAGCCAAAACATCAGACTTTGTCTCAACGTCTGAATAAGGACATGGCTGATTCGTACAGATGTTCTGGAGTACGTCTGATGATTGGGAAACACTCAAAATGGGATGGGCAGCGGGCATTTTTAAAACTGGTAAATTTAGCTGAGATTCCTGCGTGCCGGAGAATGAAAATGTTTGACCTGGCCTTTGTGTCGGACATTGCAGCTGGTATTTGGGCACAAGGCATTTATTGTCTTCCAAATCAGCTGGTTTGTTGAGGGTGTTCTCACTTCCGACTAAAATCTGGCTCACGGGTTTCTGTGCCTTTTGGCATACTTGAACTCGGGATGTTTGATGCCAAGGGTGAGGAAGGCCATGGACTTGGGGCTGCTGCGTAGGGCTCCCCAGATGTATACTTTGGACCATTTGTTCGTTTCTTTGCAGGGGTGATTCTCCAGAATGGACAATGAAAGGCTGGGCCACATTCAATCTGTTGACAATTTGAAGTTGGGCTCTGTTTGGGTTTACAGAGTTTACATTTGTAATTGGAGCTTTGTCAAGATTTATGACGGCTTTCCGAACAGACTGCTGATTATCTGGGCATATCTTTAGAGACATTTGGCGGACTAAAGGCCCCCGCCTCCTTTCAATAAGCGGAACCTGGGCACCTTGGGTGACTGGTCCACTTTTAGGATGATCGACGGGTGATTGACCTCTTCTGGGAGAGACATTGCCACAGTCAAAAGACTTGCTGCGGTAGTCACATGAAATTTCTACCGAGGGTTGAGTACAAGTGATCTGTTCGGATGCTGCACGCCTCATCACTGCCGGTACACCGAGTGTGCTGAAGACTTTTGGCTGATCTTGTGGCTCAGGAATTCTGCTGACGCAGTCGGCTCCTGAAGGACTCTCTGACCTCGACGGTTCTTCCCTGTCAAAAGAGGTTGAAATGCTGGAACAGTGCGAGAGAGTACTGTCTCTGCTCAGGCTTCGCGAGAGGCTCGACTCCAAGCTGGAGTCACCTGACGAGTGGTCCATTTGAGCAAGACGAATTCGTTTCTTTTTGGGTGGAAGTTTCTCTGCTGGCAGCTTCGACAAACTCTCACTTCTTTGTGGCCAGCTGAATTGATCTACGGGCTTTTCCGCCTGCTCGGAAGGCTGCGTTTCGTGTTCTCTGTCGGGCTCTTCGGTGACCAAAATTTCAGGGACCTGGATGTTGTTTTGACGCACTAGACGACACTGTTGGGCAGGAGCGGAGGTTTCTCCTGCGACTGCCACGGTACGATCAGTGCATTGATCCATTTTTTGAGGACTGGAATCTGCTTCTGTAGTTTTGTCCGGTAACTTTTCATGGTAGACGTCAGCTGCTCTTACATCTGCTTTGGAATTCGTCGGGTCTTTTTCTCGACTATCCAGCGGAGAACTCCTATCTGTCGATTCGGTCTCAAATGAACTCGGCCTACTGAGAGAGTTGGTGTGTCGAATGACTGAAGTACCGCAGCTTTGCCTCTGCATTTCTGCTTGAGCAGAGGTGCTGATCTGAGTCTCTCGGATTGGTGACAGTCTTGAATCTGAAGCACATGTACCGCGTGCGACGAGTTGAATTTGTGGTAGCTTGGGCTGGCTGGTTTTGGGTTGTATGTCGACCATGACGGTATGCTGAGGAAAAATTGGATTTCCAAAGCTTTTCAGTAACTGACAGGAATCAAAACTAACCGAGCAAGGGGGATTTGTGTCGGTTGGCGATTGATCATCCTCATCGCCGACGCTTTTCATTTTCCTTCTCTTTCTGAATGATGTCTGCTGTTCAACGAATCCTGGGCCGCCTGTTGACCTCGAAACTAAATTGGTTTGCATGTTGACGTGAAAGACGTCTTGATCTGTTTCTTTCACGACGACTGGCTTGTTTTTTGGCCCATGAAGTTCCGAGCAGTAAAATTTCTTGTGCGTTTCAAAATTCTCTAGCTTTCTGTACCGGTTTCGACAAGTTTCACACTCATACATCGTGCCTTTATTTTGCTGAAGTTTTCTTTGTCTGTCCTGACTGTGCTCAAAAGATCGACTTCTCTGCATAAGTTCCATGCTATTATTTGCGCTGTGATATCCGTCATCCATCGAGCGAACGGTAGGAAGTCTCTGCCCCTCACTGGTAGAAAAATCCTCCACTGCGGCTTGTCTGACCAAGGTCCGAGAATGTATTGCCGGATTGGGGGTCGATGGCGCAGACGAAAATACATCATCATTGATTGAACTTTTCTCATCAAACGAATGAGAAATTCGCAAAGGGTGGGGCAGGTGGGCAATATTGAGCGGAAGAGCGGAGTGCCCTGGCGTGGTAGGCATCGAGTTGCTCCTTGTGATCGGCAAACAATCCATTGAGTATTGAGAAGGTACAGAGAGAAGGAAAACTGGCTTCGATTTGTCTGTGGGAGTGAACGGAGACTTGGGGATGTCGGAACTTGAACTTGACCTCCTTCCAATTGGTTTCAGGTCAAACTGAAAAGAATCTTTAAATATATAGGATTTTGGAGAGTCGATGCTTCCTCTCCTTGACAGAGATGTTCGCCTTGGTTTAACGCTGTCCAGTTGCTTGTTGTCCACCACCGCCTCATTGTCGGATATCAGCTTTGAAATTCTTTCCTCAAGAGAAAGGGCTTTTGTTTCTAACGGGGGGCGCATCTGTCCCTCTTTTGCTTGTGACAAATTCTCCACTGCGACATGCATTACCGTCGAAACAACAGGAGGGAGATGAGAAGTATCCTTTTTGGAGACGTCCATTTCAGCTGGTGGCGTTATCTTTACAAATGGACTCGGTGGACTCATTGCCTGGTCGGCACTTTCGGAGCGAGAGAAGTAGCCAGAATCTGTACTTCCCAAACTACGAGGACTAAGGAGACACTTGGCTTGTTGCTGCTGAGAAAAGTCTGTCGCTTGTTGCCTCTGGAGCTGAGCGTGCCCACTTAAGAGTGGAGACTTGCACTGTTGGTCTTCATCCTCGCTCACTGTATCTAGTGAGGGACTTGTACTCACTACCTCTTTCAGAGACGACAGGGCCGTGATGTTCGATCTCAGATTAACATTTGGAAACTCTCGTTGCCGTTGCGAAGCAGCTTGTTCAGGTGCGGCGCCGGTCACTCGAGGGCTATCTGCCCTCAGAGGTGAAACGTTAACTGGATAGACGACAACTTTTGGGAGCACAGCTGTCACTTTGTGCTCATGACCTCTTTGGGCGAGAGCCGGTTTCATTGAGTCGAACACAGCCGTTGAGTCCATTTCTCCGTAGCTTGCTTGGTTTGTACCAGCGCTTTGGAGGCTGTTTTCTGACAAGGCCGCTGCACTACTTTGCGATGATTCCGGATCCAGATCGACGGTGCTTCCGTCGTCGTCACTGTCTCCGCTCTCATCTACCTCTGAATGTGTTCCGAGGGCTTTGTCAGAGTCGTGTGATTGCAGTGCCCCTCCCGATTCGGAGCGCGCAATGAGACCGAGTTTGATCGCATGAGCGTGTGATTTCTTGTGCTTGTACAAGTTGCTCTTGGTTTTGAAGGAAAACCCGCAAGTTACGCAAGGGTATGGTCTTTCGCCGGTGTGAGACCTGATATGTTTGAGCAGCACGCTGGGTTTTGCACACGCCCGGTTGCAGTATTCACAAACATATTTTCCCGGCTTCTTCTGCTTTTGGTCCTTGGAAACCTGCTCTGACCCAAAGTTCATTAAAGTTGTAATCTGAACATGGTTGTTTCCGGGTGTAACTGGGACCTGAATGGTGCTGGGCACACTTGCTGAGAGCGACTGGCAGGTGTGCACAATTGGGGGTTGGCTTTTTGGCAAAGCATTTGAGCCCGAGGGAGCCGGCGCATGAGTGATCGTAGACAGTCCGGTATTAAAACTCATGTGAATTCTGGGCTTTTCCGGATTAGATACAACAGGAATAAAATGTTGATTTGCAAAAGATAATGGCTGCAAAGGGTCACCCTGTGTTGATGCCTGTACACCTTCCTGCAATGGTGCTGCAATGCCAATGAAATTACCCTGTTTGTCGATATAATACGTCTGCAAAGGAGACGAGTGAGTATGGAGACCGATATTAACAGCCGTCATGCTGGACAATTCACTCGTGGCTTGAGATTGAAGGTTAGAAGTCGGTTCCGCGGCGGCCGTGACTTGGAAGGTCTGTTTCCTGTCAGTAAGTGTAAGCATGTCGGGCTCCATCGCCTTCAGTAGGACATCGAGCGGCGCACTGGTGTGGTAAGGATCCTTATCAAAGCTGCGGGCTTGGGTATTACCGTCCTTGGGTGGAGCCGCTTTTAGAGAACCGTCATCATCATTGGTTGGTCCGTGGGACGGCAGCATTGACTTGGCGTTCTCTTGCGTTAGCCTTTCATGGTCAGTGACAGAGTCCCCTTTGTCAGGGGATGGTTCAACAGGTTGCGCATCTTGTGATTCTCCTTCCTCGCTCAGTGATGTTGAGGGATGATGGGAGGGACTGCCGGAAGCAGGGGAGCAAGGTCCGTTCTCCTTGGGGGTTCCTCCTTCGACAGTTTCGGGAGTTTTCAGCTGCGGTGGTTTCTTCGCCGGGGATTTTGGAATTTTCTTTTGCTTGTTCTCTGCCACAACCTTTTTCCTCTTCAAACCTTTGATGTTATCTTCAATTCGGCGATTGCTTTCAGATATGCCTGTGGACAAACCAGGAAAGAAACCGTCAGACAAACGTTTTCAATATCTGTGGTCCTTTTGGCAAAATAAAGCACCATGACCCACATGCGTTTTCAGTCACTGGCAGCTGGAATGTACCCCAGCTGCCTTTAGGCAAACTAAAGACTAAACCAGGCGAGTGAATTACTCCACTCCAAAGGACACGCAATAAATAAATAAATGAAAGTGAGATAATGTTTGCACACTTGCGATCACTTTATTTGTTTTCATCTCCCATTTGAGAGCATTCCTGAATTAGGTACAACACAAGATATGAACTGTTCCGATGGGTAAACTGTTTTGCTGCAGTTAATCGAAACCAGGGCGGTCAACATGAATGTTTTTCGAAGACATGAAAGCAAATTCCCGGTCACATCATCGATGTGTCACATGGCCCCTTGGGGTGCGTATATCACTTTACTTAACACTGCAACTTTAGCGTTGTTTCTCAACGCGTACTGGTGTTTTAAGTGGTTTGCGCATCCGAGCATTTTGCTCCATTGAGTCCATTCTTTTTAATTAACATCGTTAGTGTTCTCACTTGACAAACAAATATGCCTTTCCTCCAAAACACAATAGCGTGTACGGGTAATTGTAATAACAAATAGATTTGCATAGGGCAAGTTAATTTGTCCATTCATCTGTTCGTAAGTGCACTCCGGGGTGTTTTGGAGAGGCAGCTGATTGTACAGTTAGCATAATTACCATTCGAAAGCTAACAGCCAGCATCCAAACTGGGAGTTGCCTTTTTAAATTAGCTATTAATTGTGCAGCCGATGTAAAACTAAATGGGAAACGTCGTCATACGTTTTACAATCCATGCTTATAAAGTCATAATGTCAAAAGGCTTGTAGCAGTCTTTTAAACTGTCACTTGTGTCAAGGACAAACAGAATTCCTGTGCAGATGGAGTTTTTTTTTGTTTGTTTTTAAACCCCTCTTCATTCTATTCCAGTGTTGAGCTTTTCTTGTACAAATAATTACAAAAGGCACATCGGTACAAATCGGCACGCTGGGCTCTCGATCATCATTTTGTCGCCTTTGAAAAAGTGACTCAGCATATAGTTACATAAACCTCATCGTGACCTGTCACAGTTTACCGCATTTCAAAGGTATTTCGTTTCTCCCGGGTATTTGGCATAATTAGACGAGGGAACGCCCTGTCCTTGTTAATCCATTCTCCATGAAAAGCATACAGCATTACATTTAAAAAAAAAAAAAAAAAAAGGTCAAATAAAAGCCAAAATAAATGTTGATTTAATGACACATCCAATGCTCAGAGACTGGCTCTAATCAGGTTTTCGATTGTAAGAATTCGGACGCGTCATGTACGAAAAGTGCATGTCACAGAAAAAGTGTCGTCGCTATTTGACTGGCACGCATGGACAAGAATACAAGTAGTTATTTATATCTTGTCCACTTAGCTTCTCCACACAAGCTGCTCCCAGTCTTGTTAAGAACGATAAGTCCATCAAGGCTCTCATGACCTGCAAGCGACTTGGATTTTTTTTTTCTTTCTTTTCCATGACTCAGAAGTTGGTCATGTGACATTCACCCAAAAATAAACAAATTATCATCAGCACTGTCTTTGCATTAGCACACATTATATATATATTATATGAATAATAATATATTGTCGGACTTATAAGATTATTGGATATTTTTTACATTTGTTTGGCACTCTCGTAAACCACTTTACAAATGATTGTGAGGGTAGTCGAGCGGTCACTTGTTGAAACCTTATTTGTCCTTGATATAACAACTTGAAAAAGAAATGTCTCTTACCTTTCCGTGAGCCCGTGGGTTCTTTCAGCTCTTTCTGGGCCTCTTCGATTTTATCTGCAACACAAAGAAAAGGTGCATTTTCAGCAGGCGGCAAGCGCCAGCACGTACATGCCCACGTACCGTACGCAACTGTGAACGGATGGCAGCATGCAAGTAATGTTACGAGGGATTCCTCCCACACGGCCCATGCGGGATGATGTCTGTTAAATGAAAAACAGATATTCTTCCAGAGCCGAGAGAGTGCACCGTTCCATGATGGAAACTACGGTCATCATTGAGGCAGCGCGCTTGCGTAATGCGACCGTATAGCCGCACGTTTTAAAAAACAACGCGGATACGCGTTAGGTACGGGTTAGGATTTCAAACACGACATTAAAAATGGCACGCAGCGACTCCCGATGCTGGACGATGCTCGAACAAGAATGCGCCGGAACTTCTCGGAGGATTTCTGGTGAACCGGTGTGCGCGCTTCTTTTCTCACAGGCAGCCGGCGGAGACAGGAGGCTGGCTACTAAAAGCCCGTCAGGTTTGAATTTAGAAACATGTTTCGATAAAATGTGCTTAGTGCATTTTTTTCCCCTGCTACCGCAGCTTCCTCCCACACCCAAACACATGCATGTTAGTTTAATTGGGGAAAAAAAAAAAAAAAGCTGAAATGCCCTAAGGTGTGAATGCGAGTGTGAAAGCTTTTTTGTCTATTATACCTTTTTTTTTTTTTTGTACCACCTATAAAAATATTTAGCTTTCCAAGTAGTGCACAAAGGATAATGATACAGTGACTGGTTTGGTCTGTAACATGATTCAACACAAGGATAATCAGTCCAAGTTCATTAATCAGTATGTCTTACTGCTGAAATTCTGAACGTTTGGACAGTTTTAGATGGGGAAAAAAAAGACATATTCCTATTCCACAGATCCAATATTAAACAGACTGCCGTGTTTAGGGGCCAGAACATACTATTTTGTCAAGACATTTTTTGAGTTGACTTTTGAAAAACGTACTGCCGAAAATGTCACTATGATATTAGGCAAAGTTTGAACATATAATTGAGTGACTGTTTTGCATACCACTGGGGGGTGGGGGGGGGAGGCGCAATGAGTCTCGAGTGTACCCCGTCTCTCGTCCAAAGTCAGCTGGCATACACGGTTCAACCACGATCCAAATGAGGACAGGCAACGTAGGAAACTGATGGTTGGATGGATGTTTTGACCCTTTCAGGCACAGCGGCTACTACAGTGGACAGCTTATCATGCTATCAGGTTACAAGGGTGCATGAAATGGTTCAGATGAGGTAATAGGAAAGCTTCTCATATGAAATATTACTTGGTGGCTCTATGCAGGGGGGGGAAAAAAAAGCACATTTCAGATCATCCGGATTTTACCAAAGACTATGCTTCTTATTCATATATTAGGGGAAAAGTAGGAGCTTTCCTCCCATGACCGTGAAACTGAATGGAAACATAAATCCATCATAGCTTTTCTGCTTCATATATGACATCATGATTCGAGACAAGTCCCAGAGGACCAATTGCAGCAATTTCATTTTCGACCACCACAAATGTTATTGGAGGACAAAAAAAAAAGGATGTCCTTCCGTCGTTGCCAAAATCACAGTAATTCCATGCCGGGAATCCGCAGTGAGGAGGATATGAGCGGCTGGTGCAAGAGGTCAGTGGATTATGTCATTGTGTGTGTTACAAGTCACACCCCATCTCCGTCGCTCTCCTACCCCAAGCACACGCCACAGATTACATAATGTGTTCCCATCCCGAGCTGCTGCGGAGCAAAACAAAGGCGCCCTGCCAGCAGAAACACAGCAACAGAGGGCAGCGCATTTGTTTTCGTGCATCTGTCCGTCAAAGACAGGAATGTATTCAAATGCTCCACAGAGATTGTGGATTCCCTTGCCCTCCGATGTACTCTCCCGGCATCGGAGCCCCGGCCGTGCTATTCCACAAAGCGGGGACTCTCAAAGCTTCCCTCGGGTGAATTGCCAGCAGGCTGCAAGGCTTCCTCAAGTCAACGATGACGGCCGGTGCAATTTTTGGCTTGGATAGCGGTTAAGGTGATTTGGCTCTTCATTGTTTGAACAGCTCGCCTTATTACCGAACGTCTCGGGTGAGACCGCACCGCCAAACCGTGACATCGGTGATTACCGCCCAACGTACGGCGTATTTGCGCCGGTGTAAGAATCCGATTGCTCTCTCTTTACATAACCAACCACAAACAAGACGCCTCATGCTGAAAGGCATCCAATGAAGTCATGCTCAGAACGCAGGAAACAATGAGTCGAAAGGGACAAGGCAGCAGTCCCTTCATCCCTCACCCTTAATAAGGACAAAAGATTCCATCCACGCAGGCCAAGTTGTTAAGACAGAAGGGAATGATTATACGGTTCAAATTTCCCTCATTATCTGCGCTTGGGTTTGCCGGAGTGGTCTCCATGATGGTCAAATATTTCACGACGGGGGCTTTGAGACATTCATCTTGCCATCTGCAAAGCATGCGGCCGCAAGAAAACGCGAAAAGGCAGAACGTCAATGTTGCAGCGTTGCCTCTGATGAAAACCAGAGCAAGTAATGGAAGGCGTCCAGATTTTTAGGCAGGGTGAGAACGATCGACCAATCTCGATTACAATAGAACAGGAGACAGAGAAGGCCGACCCTTTTGGTTAAGACGCTAAAAGCTCAGTCAAAAGAGACGCATGACATTGATCATTGTTTCTTTTTCCCCCCCTTCGTATCTCGTGGACAACAGAAAGCCTCGATTACACTCAAAGGCAACGGGACGGTGGAAGGTGTTGACAGGTTTTTGAATCATGCATCATAAATGCTCGGCGATGATTTGGCCGGGGCAGGCCAGCGAGCACGGCTGCCTCGATCCTTTCGGTTGCTGTCATGACAACCTCACATCTTGAATCCTTCGCGGAACACCTCCCGACATGACCGTGCTGGGCTGACTGGGATTCGGGGGGGGGGGCAGAGTGTGTGAATTAGTAGCGCACCAAAGGCCGGATGGCTGCATAGACAAAAAAAAAGTACAAAATGATGACAGCATGACCTCCTCCTGGAGCATCACAAGTGTCATTCTTGGGCACCGTTTACCTCAGCCTGCGGGCCAACAACCCAACACCAGGCTCAACAAGCATTCCCGCCTCGCGGGTCCTCAAAATACACATTTTGCTCAACCGTCTGCACCGTTAGGCCTCACCACGCCGAACGGACGCCATCAGCCGCATCGTGGCAGCTTCTCAAGGCGGCGCAAAGACTCCATATGCACAATGTTTACTCGTCTCAGGCTGCTTTTTTTTTTCTCCGTCAAGCTGCTGCTCCCCCTGCTAGCATCAAAGATACACGCTCTAGTTGTTTTGATATAACAGCGGCATCTGCACGGTTGTGATATCATTAGTATGCACGACGCCACGCCATATCTGTGTGCTCTTGAAACAGAGAGTGTGAGCAGATGGTCCATGTGCAAAAAAAAAAAAAAAAAAAGGACGAGTCAAAGGTGAACGGCATTTTTCTGTTTGGACTGACGGCGCGTGCGTCTGTGTGTGCGCGCATGCGTCACACGACGCAACGGGGAGGCTGCGGTTTCAAAATCGGGATGGAAGAGATCTTGAGGGAGGTTACACACTGCAGCATCCAAATTCAACAGAGAGGAAGAGACGAAGCGGGATGAAGATGACGAGATGGTAGCCGGCAGCTGCCCCCTTCTTCCTTGTCACAGCGCAGAGGAGGGATTATGTAACTCGAGCACCTTCACCGGAATTCTGTCCACGCCCGGCTTTGTGCGAAACGCACACATGGTGGCACACACGCACTCTGGCGGAGGCTGCGTTCTTTGAACAGTCAAGGGCATTTACAGACACTAAGACAGTGTGCAGGTGCACCTCACACTTGGTTCCAATCTTCAAGCGTCTTCAAAGTTTGGTCCAGCTTCCCAAAATTGCACCCGATACTATTTAGCGTCAGTCGAAACACCTTATGATCCGTTGCTTTGCTTTCGTGTGCGCTCGTCATACCGTTGATTGCATTGATTCGAAGTATGAATATCTTTCCCGTCATCCCTCTTCCGCCGGCAGATGTGCGAGCTATGCAAAATCCTTTGCCAACTTGAAAGGAAGTCTGCTGATCATATCTCAGCATTTTTCCTGTCGCGTGTGGAGAAGACCCCAGTCAGTTTTGCAGCCCTCAGCTGCTGACCCACGCAATAAGCGGCCATAACAGTTTCCGTCAGCTCCAGACAAATTCTTTTATCTTTGCAGACATGCCTGAGAGAAAAAAAAAAAGAGAGAGAGACTCCCCATGCTCGGGACGGTAATAAATCAATCTGAGAGTAGAGCTTAAGACTGATGAAGTTTTCTCTCTCCGTGACTGCGGTCAAACAATGATGGGGGAGCGAAGGAAATCCCAACCCGGAGCAGGAGTGTCCCATTACGTTGTAGTACATCATCATCATCATCATCATCATCAGTCGGTGTATCTTGGAATTTTTCATATTATCTCGGTTGGGTGGGAGCTGGAATGACTCACTGCTTAATCTACCGGACACAAAAAGGAGTGACGGAATGATTAAGGGATGAAAGACTGTGTGCGTCTGTTTGGAGATGACTACATCAAGTTGTGTGTTGGCTTTTGACAAAACCACTCTAATCTCCGTTCTTAGACGTGACACAAAGATCATTTTTCATCAAACTTAAGAGATATGGAGCCGTATCCCAAGTCAAGTCGTCTTTTCCCAGCCAGTCATTGCGACATCCCAAATTTGCATCGATATCAGGCCAGTCAGAGGCGCAGTATGCCCAAGTAAGCCGTGCTTGAGATTGCGGGAACAGAAATAGAGTCAACGGGTTACATCAGTGGTTCGGAACCTCGTTGGAGGTACCGAACCGGTTACATGCATGATATTGGCAGGTAAACTGCAAGATCTTCCTTTGCGGATGATGTAGTTGGCCGTGCGTGTGACGCGGGGAATTTGAGAGCGCCTTGCATCGTGTGTCACAGTGTGATCAAAAGAGTGACGGAGGTGCTTTTAAAATATATTTAACATGAAAATGTCATAAAATTAATTGATATCTACCATCATTCGATGATTGTCTGTTGTCCAACAATGTAAATCTGCATATTTGCGATAGCATCCAGTATTAATCTATAAAAATTAGCAAAAATGTCTGACGTAGAGAACACTTTCTCAGTTTGGTTTCAGAGAAGAGACAGAAAAGGAAGAATACGTCTGCGCACGAACACCCACTTCCTTGTTTGCAACAAGTTAGAAAAAGGCCCTGAAACAAACTGCGCATCGAATCCCATCCGGTGAGAATTTCAAGTTCCCTCTTGGTTGTGCTCAGTGACATCAAAATAACAGACGACATTGGCGATTCCCCTTCACTGAGATCAGCGAGTGACGGCCAGCGCGTCGCCAAGCGATGCGTTGGACAGGAAGCATGCGTCAGTGTGCTTCAGCGCGAAAACAAATTGTGCACGTAACTGTCTGCTTTGTAGGTATGATAAGGAATGCGGTGCCACATCAGACCAGGTTGACAAAATGTCTGGCAGACATTTTTGGTGTTGTTTTTGGAATTATCCAAGTCAGTCAGCTTGTCTACCTTTAAGGTAAACTGCACTTTA